TTTTTTTTTTTTTTTTTTTGTCCGAATCCTAGTTAATAAAGTCAAGACAAGATGACGTATTGAATCCGGTGGTCAAATAGATTAAATTATTGATTAATCATTGGATTTACCTTAAAATGACTACTACTTATCGCAGTTCGTCAGCTGTTTGTTCATCGTAATTCTTCCGCGTGATCTATACGATTCTTTATACTACAAGACTCAATCAATGTGAACGAGGATAGACTGCCTGGAAGGACCGTTGTATAAATATATAGACAGATACAAACATCCTAGAAGAGCTGCGACGACTTTGGGCTCGTTTCATTCCCTTATGGTATTAGTGCCATCGTCCCAAAATACAGACCGCTCTTAATCTTGCGGTTTATCTATCTCGTAAATCTATCTACGATCTTACCAATGAAGCTTATCAATGAAGCTACTTGTTTGCACAATGAAGTTGTTTTTCCCTCTCCTCTAAAAAAGCAAGAATGTAACAATCAACAATTTTACTGCTGTGAAAAAAGTCTTAAACCAAATATTATCCAAACTTTTCTACTCTAAAAATTAATATCACACTTTAAAATTAAGACAAAATGTCTTTCATAATATCAGCTTTACCCTTCTGTAATTTTATTCTTATAAATTAACATAATTTATTGAAATAATATTTAGATATTAGATGCTTCTTTTGACGAAACTCTCGAAACGAGATCAAACATTTTCGTAATTACTGGCCTCCCCTTGTCCGGATATACCACGTGTCTTAAAGAACCACGTGTCTTAAAGAGAGTATCGACGTTTTAGCTGGCTACACGCGTTGATCGACAAAGGAGTTTAGCGAACAAACAACGAAAACTCATAAGCTGCTCGCTACTTCAACTATTTCCTTCTCCTTTTACGCAGTAGAGAATAGTGCTTAACGACTCGGTAGCAATCCAACTGACTGACTCATGTTCTTTCTCTCAAGAATTACGACCACCCTTTGCGCGATTTTCCTACCCATTCTCTCTGTCCGTTTCTGACTATTTATCTTCCTATTTTGCGACAAATGTCTATCCGCTCTGCCTGATCTTCACCTTCGATTTTTCTTTGCTTGGATAAAATTCGAACGTGATAAAATTGTATGATAAATATGTACATTTTACAATTGTTTTCTTCTGATCGATAATAATTTATTCGTATTCCATCTTATATGCGGTAGAGAATTTATAATTGAAATCCGAAATAATCAGAAATGATAAAAAACTAATATGAGGTTAGAAACTAAATCTGATTCGGATTCAATTTTCCGAGATAGAATGTATCGCGTGGATGCGTATAATCCCTCTCGCCTGAAATCGGAAACGTCAATCGCAATTTTCGAGAATCTCGGAGCTTTCACACGGAAAGTTAAAAGCGGATTACTATAGACTTGGCTTACCGTAGTCGAGATCGTACGACTTATCCAAGTTCACTACCACTTATTCTCCTCAAAAACCTTGACATTGAGACTTTCTCGTCGTACTGTGCCCATCCACGAGTTACTCTTCCCACAATTGCAAAAGACTATTAATGTTACCGCCTTAACTTATTCAACTAAGCGAATTAAGAAAGAAAAGAATGAAAAGACTGTCATTTGGACTAAGACTTATTATCACAATGACATTTAGCGATTCGATCATTAATATTTTCGTCTTTGTACTCTTTCGTCGCCATCGTCCCTATAATTCAGCCGCGCAAGATAACAATAATACTCCGAATACGTGCAGGGAGAAGAGTTTAATGGATTATTAACCCTTCGTCGCTTACTTTGTTTTGCTGTCTCAATATGGCATTCTTATGCACAGTCATGCGACATTGTATATCACTTCATTACTTCTTGCTTAAATTTTCCTGTCTTTTGACTTTTTAGAAAAAATATCGTTACATATTGTTTTGTTTCTCAAATTTTAATTAGTAATGAATCACTTATTAAGTAAATAAATAAGTATAAAAAAATTTCTATAATATATTGTATAACAAAAATATTCATGAAGTTTTATATTTCATAAACTGTTACTTTTTGCTAATATTGAAGTTTAAAAATCGAAATTGTGCTCTGCACAATCGTATCCGCTCAGTTCTTTAAAAAAATTAAATATTTATATATCTATCACGTTTGAATGTGTGAAAAAGAACAACTGAGAAATGGAAATTATCAAAAGATAATTTTAAACCTTTCTTAATCTTACAACAAAATATAGCTTTACAGCTATTTTTAGTTGTTCGGCAAAATTCTCAAACTTTATCAAGATTGAAAGAAGAAAATTTGAATGAAATCTTTATTAATGCAATATATGAAATAACGGCTTGACATGTATATGATGCAACTGCAGTAATATTTATTTAACAACTATGCTGAAATATTGATACAACAGTGAGAGAGAAGGCCTTAGTTTACGTGATCGATGGCTCGTCCGTATCAGAAATCAAATCAAATGAATACTATAAAATCTCGAGTTTTTTAGGACTCGAGCACACGCTCATAGAGAAATCAACGATCTATAAAAACGAACGATTTCGCCTTTTGGACACAGCGATAAAATCACGATTCGTGTTACTACCGTCGCCTAAAGTATTCGGGGGTTTTATGCTCAAATCATGAAGGGACTCGGCATAATTTGATCTCGTTGAAATGTGCGAGAATAAGAATACTAAGGCTCGAAACGAAAGATATATTTTGCACAACAACGTGATTAATCGCCCCATTTCTCAAGGAGGAAACGTTTAAGACGACGAAATCTCGTCGCGACGCGTGCGGGATTTATAATGGCCCGTGATTCGACAGCTGCACGTGCTTCCGCGATAAAAATAGACGTCGTTGTCGACGCCGTTTTACCGACGTTGAGAACGATATGCGAGAGTGCACACATGATATTCATGTACTTTGATTGATAACACTAATTTTTTATTTAGTATTTATTATTTAGTTTTAATGTATTACGCTGTGTTGTGCGAATGTAAGCAAATATCGTCGAACATCGCTCCTAGCGTGTTTTCTCGTCTTGACAGAAATGCCGGAATAGGGTTGATTTATAGTATTTTGCTTACAGATCACATCATTCGGCACTTTAAGAAAAGGACGACTGGCCAAAACATTACACGCAAAAGTGCGTTTAAAGTATGTCGTAGTTGACAATAGAATCGTAATAAAATTCATCAATTTATCATTATTTGACAGTGTACATTATTATTTAAATATAATTTCCATTTAAACGCATCTTGTTTGAGTAAAATCAATAATCAGAATATAATAACTTTGTAAAATATTTGATTAGAACATTAAATCAATTATCGTTACGATATTATTGGCACATAAAAAGACTCGTTATATCCGACTCTGAACTACATGCCATAAAAAGCGTAGAGAGAACACAATGTACAGTGTCGTGACTGAAGAAATTGCCGCGATCTTTCGGGTGATTGACGCCTATCCAGACATGCAGCAAAAGGTGCCCGTGAAACTTTTTCCTAACGTCGCGTTTATTTTACGACTTTTGCCATGGCGATGATAGCCTCTCCCGCACCGATTTATCGCAACACTTGAGTTACTGCGTTTGAAATACTTTTTCACTTGCGATTTTACGGTTCTTTTGTCAATTTCTATATATTAAAAAAATGCAAACAAAAAATAAAGGAACCATAATATTTAGATATTATTTTTTATAATTCGCATAACAGTTTGAATTTTGTACTGATATCGACAAATTTTAAAAATATATTTTTCGGTAGAATTAATTTTGAATAAAGATACTGAAATACCAATAAATATTGAATAACAAAAGTGAAAATAAATGATTGTTAAAAAGTATTTCTGTTTTCACAGCATGAACAAACGCGTAAATACAAGATATATACATATTAAAATTCTTTTATTAACATTATTCGTTAAGCAATAATTTTCTATTTTACAAAATAAATCGCCGAACGACATAATTTCGCAGATTACGCGGTGAGAGTAAAGTTATAGAGAGCTCGAAACCCATATTTTGGCAAAATGAATGGCAAATAATTTCAGGGTAAACAAAACGATATGTGTATCGATTAAATGTATCCCGCTTTGTAATCAGCGCGCGACTTATGGTTAATGCTACCCGTGGTCATCCATGTTTTGCATAATTCACAGAAGCGTCGATGCATGTTTTAAACCGCTCGATTACATAGTGATCGCATCGCAGAGTAACATGATTGTAACGGGATGATATTGTGAATCGATGCTCTGGTCAATGATACATCTTGACTGCTCGATTATCATATGAATGAATATTTCGTACACACGAAAGTCTGTCATCAAGATCAATGTCAGAGAGATAAAATTTTTAATTTTATAGCATTCGTCGAGTTTTTATGCATTTCAAGCTGCGCTTAATTTCCTTCTTTTCATATATGTATATCCCGTTTCTGAAAACCATTAGGTAAAATAAAAAAAATTGCAACT